AGTCCTGGGCATAGCTCTGAGAGTCCAAGGGCATTCTTGGGCACAGAGAAGCAACAGAGATATTTAACTACTCTGTAGCTGACTAATACTGAGCACAGTTTGGAGCTGGATCAACAGTGGTGGCTGCACACACAAGGGAGCCCCAGTGCAGAGCCAGGAATGAGCAGTGTAGAACCAAGGAGCACCATCAACACCACAGGTCTGTTACTAGAGCATCATGTTGTCACAGGCCATGAAACAGCCCGAGAAGACCCAGGGGGGATTTAGGGCAGGCCAGCCGGAGGCTCTCACCCAGATGATAGCAGTAGCACATCAAATCATCCCACACTCAATCAAGACTTCCCATGATGGAAGAATGGGGGGAAGAAACTTATCCCACACAGTGTTGTTGTACCACAGAAGAGAAATCAAATGCAGGAGTGGTTTGGACCTCAAAAGCTGCAAGCCTTGTCTACAATCAATTAATGACTAATCTCATGCCTGACTGGTAATAAAAGAGTGGGCCTGGGCTCACCACAGCCAGGGAGCCTGGAGGGGGAGTGCTGAGGCCCTGCTGTGAATTGCTGCTGGTGTTTGGGAGGTTTGGGCAGGAGCTGAGGCTGTATGAACTCAGCTGCAGTGAGATCCTTGATGGAGAGGGACAGAGGGAGAAAGGGACAGAAGAGAGTTCCTCTCTCACATGGCTGCAGTCACATTTAAGTGCACTTAGCAGTAAAAGCCCAGCATAATAGCACAGGAATTAAATGAGAATGTACAGAAATGAGTGCAGAGAAAATTAAAGATGGCCTACACTAATCAGCAAGCTTGGTTTTGTTATGTGTAGTAGATATAATTCACACCATTTCTAGTAAGATATATGTGATATTGAATATTTGTTGGAGTATACATGTTTGTATTAGGACTCCCCCCCACCCTCGAAGGCGAAACCTGGTGTATGTTGAAACGCGATTTACACGTAAAAGGATGTGGCTCGGCCAGGAGATGGGCCATGTCTGGAGAGATCCGGAGCACCCCAGGCGCTGATCATTGTGAACGACCCGAGATGGGTATCATGGAAATCCTCAGGCAGATACATGTGAATGCAAGTTCCCTAAATTTCATCAAGGGATTCAACAACTCCTGACACTGAATTGTTCTTCTTCATCACCAAAAAAGAAAATCTTATTAACCTATGGACTCTGAATAGAAGAAAAGACTGGCTGTCGGAATCTTAGCCTCAGGCGGAATTTTCCCTATAAAAACAGCTTGTGCCAGGATGGAAGTGTGCGGGCATGGAGGAAAACCTCTGCTGAGGCTGACCTCTTTGTTGCACACCCAGGGCTGACCCCGGGCTCAGCTCTGTTCTTACCTTGTGGCTGGCTAGATAGAATTTAATTGCAAATTTTTTTTTTTTTCATTTTAGATTTGGCTGGACAAATTTTCATTTATAACAGTTTGCTTTTTAGAAAGCAAACACATTGGTGCCTGCAGAGAGACTCTATCCATCACTGTGTAAAGAAGCATCAGCAGCAGAATGGGATTTTGTGTGTGCTCGCTCTGAGATCTCTAACACCAAATCCCAAGTCTTGTGTCCTTCCATGCACAGGAGCAGCTGCATGGGCTGCTGCAATCCAGAGCCTGCTGCTCTGTCCATGCTGTCCATGCTGTCCATGTGTTCCTCCACCCGTGGGATGGGATATTACATGGAAAAAATGTCACTTAAAAGTTACCACAAAGTAAGCACAAAGTGACAGAGTGGCATTACTAGAGCATCCCACTGCTTGTGAGCCATCCCTGAAATACAGTTACAACCAAATGGGGAAAAACCTAGTAAGGTAGAGTTGAGACATGAGCTTTAACACTTTATTCTTTCTCTGACAGTGATTGCAAAAATAGTATGGAATGGCATGACATGTTCATTATTTCTTTCTGACTTCAGGTTAAAAAGCAGCCTATGTTCAAGGAGACTGTACCCACAGCTTCAAACCCAACCTGATCTCGAAATCTCAGGCAGGCTGGGTTTCCCTTCCATGTGGGGCCACCAACTGCAGCTGCTCTGCAGGTTCAATAACACCCTTGCTGGTGAAAGCCTCTGAGTCTGCAGTGCCTTGCGATACAACCAGCCAGTGAGCTCACAGGCTCTGGGGGCCCTTGGTCTGCAATGCTGCTGGAGCATCACACAACATCACTGTGGATGTTCTTCCCCCTCATTGCTCTTCAAGCAGGATCAAAAAGGTATCATGAGGTAAAAAAAATAAACAGTGACAATGTAAAACTGGGTGCTGTGCTTAGCTGTGCACCTCAGGGCACTAACAGCATATTTGAGGTCATTAATCAGATCATCATCCTTTGACAGGAAAAAAGAGGAAAACAATGTTTGGGAAAAGCTGGGAGCCTCTGGCACAGCCAATCCATCTTCATGGGCAGCACCCTGCTCAGCAGAATCAAACCACTCACCCAGCACTGAGCAGCAAGTGGAAAAAAATGCCTGAAACCAAGCTCTTGACCACAAAGGATTTGAGAGTATACTCCACTTCTGGCCTATTGTGCAGGTGATTTTCTTCACCTCCCAACTCATTATAAAACCTATGAGCTGTGACCAACTTTTTTGTTGCTACAAGCAAGTAATTCTGCTATTGACATGTCTGTCTGTGGCACAGTGAGACCTGGCATCACCTCCACCAGCTGAGGCTGCAGCTACAGAGAGCACTTCCCAGCCCGAGAAGATAGAGCCTGGTAGGTGGAAATGCAAAAAGGCAGTGTCTTCCAAATCTGTCGCTGTATGTGCTCTGGGATAAGCAGAGCATATGTACAGCAGCTGAATCAACTGGAAGGAAGGCCATTTCTGGTTTAATTAAATGAGCAGACTGAGGAACTAGATGCAAGAATAAAGTGTAAAGAATAAAGAATAAAGAATAAAGAATAAAGAATAAAGAATAAAGAATAAAGAATAAAGAATAAAGAATAAAGAATAAAGAATAAAGAACAGCTGCTGCTTCTTCAGGAGATAACTTCAGAGCTTGGGGCTGGTTTGTGGATGGGCCACTTTCTCCTGCTCCTGTCTATGAGAAAACCACTGTATTGTCTTGGTATGTAGGTGACTTGAACTGACATCAGTGGTGATCATACACTTGCACTGGAGGGGAATCTGAGCTTTCCTTGATGGCAGACGATGGCTCTCCCTGCAGTGCACACCAGGATCACCTGACAAATCCCACCAGGGTGATGCACGACACACTTCAGGTACTGACAGATTTACAGAATGCTGCTTAAGGTAGAAGGCAGCTGCACAGCAGATGTAAAAGGTGCCTGCACATTCTTATTTTGTTGTGTTCAACTCAACTGAATTAATAAGATGAAAGGCCATTTCAAAGCACCTTGCAGATTACCTTGTCCAAGAGCTTCTTAAAAGCTCACACAATTAAAGTGCATTTGATCTAAAAATACAGCATCAGTCATGACAGTGTGCAATAGCTGCAATGTTTTAACCCAGGAGAATCAGTTCTGTTAAGTGTATCACGTTACAACTGCTGGCACCTGGGAATAACATCTGTGTTTCTGGGTCAGTCTTTCAGATCCCAGTTTGTCAGACTAAAAGGGACTGAACCTCTCCTACCTAAAACGTCACAGCTCTCTCTGTGCTGTGCAGTCCAGTAAATCTAATGGCCAGCAACAGTGCAACAGAAGTCACACATGCGGCTGGTAAGAGCACTGGTGCCTGTGATTTAGACCATCCTGAAATCAGTCTCTGGCACCCCATTTCACTGCAATTTGGGTGCTATGGAAGTGTTTCTGCTGCTGAGTGATTGCTGTTGTTTCAAACCTGTCAGTGCTCACCCTGTACATCCTGCCCCACCTTGTAGCGTTCACCCTGATCCCACTCTCTGGAGACTCCGTGACAGCAGAGTCTGAGCAACCGCTGGTCTCAGGGAACCTCAATTTCACCTTACTTTTTGTGAGCCTAGCGGTCTGACTTCTCTCGGGCTAGCACAAGATGCCTATGAGCATTATCTATAAGCAAGGGAAAGTGCAAACAGCTTTTATCTCCACAAAGCCAGGCAGTGTGTCCCCTCACCGGCTTGGGGTCAACAGCGTCTATCTGAGAGGTTAAAAACTAACAGCCTCTTATCTACAAAACCTCTTGCAACACCGAGACCTGAGATATCTTGTTTTCTGGCTCTCGAGACAAAGACTGTGGCTTAGGTTGACACTTTAAAGTTTCATTTTGCCAGTTGGGAGTTTGCAGGGCTTCGTGTTGTACCATCCCTGGCCAAACAGCCACATCACGGGGCTGCTGTTATCACAAAAGTGAAACCGATTTAAACTGTCATCCTGCTATCGAGTATCCCAGCCCCACTGTGTCCAAGGAGAAGCAGGTAGTCAGCTACAGCTGTTTGCTTGATAAATATTGATGGTGGGGAGCAAGGAGTATTGCAACACTGCAAAAGGTCCTTAAAAGTGTTTGGAGGATGAAAATTGCTGGCACTGTTGTGATTTTGAAGCTCAAATAATAAATGATTCAACAACTGTACAGTTACCATGGGGATGAATTCTCATTGAGCCTAAAATTACCAAGCTGCTGACAAGGAGCTATTTTTAGTATCAGCAGATGTGTATCTTTAAGAACATCAGCACAGACCTACTACTGTTTGTGTATGCATGCCTGCTGTAAGTGAGTTTTCTCATGCTAATAATAAAAGCAAAAATAAGTAAATGTCTGACCGCTGCAACAGACAACGCAGTGATTTCGGCTGGGGATGATAAGTGGAAATTGCAATACCTGATAAATAAAGCATGCCAAGAGGCTAGATTGCCAGTACGTAACTGAACTCGTAAGCAGAGCCCTATCATTACTGTCAGCTAGCATGCTGCAGTAATGGAGCATCTATTTTTGGTGTCTGTGAGTATCTAGCGGGAAGCACTCGTCTGCCCTGTCAGAGCCCCACGACACAGGAACACGGAGGCTCAGAGCTGACACGGGCTGCTGGCACAGATCCTGAATCCCCACACTCCGCGACGGCGCTTGTAAGCGCTCTCCCTCCACTTCGCGCTTGAGGGAGGTGCGAGGGTACCGCGCTGGAATCCCCGGCTCGGCCGAGGTGCGAGTCCGGGGAGCCGCGCCGCAGCGCGGCCGAAATCTCGGGCGGAGGGAGCGCGGAGGGAGCGCGGAGGGAGCGCGGAGGGAGCGCGGAGGGAGCGCGGAGGGAGCGCGGGGCGGAGCGCGGAGCGGAGCGCGGAGCGGAGCGCGGAGGGAGCGCGGAG